TGTAGTTATTTCAAGGAAAGCTAGGTGGTCATGTAGTAATTTCAGTTAGTTAGCTGGTAATAAATGAATAATGATGAACCAGAGGGGAGCAGGAAAAAATGAAACTTCAAACGACTAAATGTTGTTGAACCTTGATTAATTGTTTATTGCTGCTGAAATGAGTACACGACTAACAACCGTTTTTATTGTTGCTCACAGAAATGTATCGACATTTTGATTGAGAAGGAATACCTGGAAAGAGTGGATGGCGAGAAAGATACCTATAGCTATCTTGCGTAATAAGTCGAATAATAATCATCAAAGCACACATCCCTTGAGTGCTTATATATATATAAAAAAAAAATGTAATACTAAAATTGTTTGTGGTCGCCTGGTTTGACCCGTGCTATGATGTCATTCAGCTAGGAGAACTCATCTTGTAATACCCACTAGCTTTGTGATAAAAAAAATTGCTGGTAAATTTCTTCAGTAAACTGGAGGAGCTTTATATTTTAAGACAGTGCCTCAGACTTTATTCTCAGAATAGGACTGTGCCAGCTTATTTTCTAAAGCCATCGTGACATTTTTTTTATTTTATTTTCTGCAGAACTGTTGTTTGCAGGAAAATATTGAATAAATTGATTTAATGTGACTTATTCAGTCTACATGTAATTTGTTCTTTTTTGATAAGTTTTTCTTTCAAAAAACAGCCACTAGATGGCGGTATACAGTGTGTAAATTTAATAAAATTAATGGTGACAGATATCAATGTGTTCATAGCGTGTGTGTGTACTTGTGTTGGAAGGTGTTACAAAAAAAATGATAACCACATGCCCATTATTTTATTTTTTTGGGCCTAGGGGACAGTTCCAGATATTTTTTTTTTTAGTATGTGCAAATTGCAAGTGCTGACACATAGTGCATTTTGCCACAGAAGTCATATTCCTGTTTGGGACTACATGACATGGCTGTGTGACCATCTCAAATTCTCAAATGGCAATTTAATGCGCTATCCTGGTGTCAACCAGGCTTCGGTCGAACACAAGCACCTCTGGACCTTAACCAAGATTCCCCCAAAGTCGCATTTGTCTGTGGCACACTCACCCAGGGTAGGGGTAGGGTATACCCTTTTGATGTTCAGCCTAAGGTAGGATTTGAACTTGGGTCTACCGATCATGAGTCTGATGCGACAACCACTATGCTACCAGCGACTGGTATCATTTGATGGGGGGGGGGGGATAACATTAAATGTTAATGATAGAATGGCCTGTCCATAAATTGGGGGGGGGGGGCCTAACGATTTTCAGTAATGGGGAGATGATGCTTTAGGAAGACATTAGATGTATCAAAATGCATATTTCACTCATTTTTATCATATGAGTGATTGTCTGTCGTCCGTGTCAATGTTTTACTTTTTCGACTTCTTCTTGAAAACTACAAGCCTGAATGTTTTGATACTTGGTGTATATGTACCTTGGGTAGACCTCTCTCAAGATTTGTTCATTTCATGATCGCAAGTCCAATTGCTTTGATATTACATATATAGGTACTACATGTGGACCTCTCTCAAGATTTGTTCATTTTGTAATGATATCCTCAATTCTCTAATTTGGGTGAATATTTTTGGTAAAAAGTGATATTTTCGACTTCTTGTTAAAAACCGTAAGTCCAATTGCTTTGATACTGTAGAATACTTTATTTTCGCTTGGAATTTATTTTCGCTATTTTCGCTGAATGGATGATTCCGCGAAAATAAAATCCAGCGAATATACTTTTTTTCCTATACTTCACATTAAATTCATCAAAAATCAGTGAAAATAAGTTCCATACAAAACGCCCAAAAAGCCTTTTCAGCGAAAATTAATTCCAGCGAAAATAAAGTATTCCACAGTATTACATATATAGGTACTACATGTGGACCACTCTCAAATTTGTTTATTTCATGATATTTTAAATTCTCTAATTTTGATGAATATTTTTATCATTTTTGGTAAAAAGTGATATTTTCTTCTTGTTAAAAACCACAATCATTTATGGTGAAAAATGATATTTTTGAATTCTTGTTGAAAACAGCAAGTCCCATTGCTTTGATACTATACATATTGTTCATTTTCTAATGATATCTTCTGTTCTTTAATTGAAATGTGCATTGCCAGCAGCGGAGCTATCTCATTTTTTATAAGATGCTAATTTACTAAGATCGTTGGGTTCTGAATAGTACCGTGAAAACTCTAAAATTTTGACCACTTTTAAATGAATGTTTTAGAAAAAATGTCAGGTTTTTAGAATACAAAATAACAATAAATTCACAGCCAGTAGAGTTTTTTTAGAGTAAAA